AAAAAAATAACCCAAAAATGCAAAAAAACCCACCTTAACACGCCAGACCATGAGGAATGGCGACTTTGCCCTACCGACAGGCTCCCAACACTTCTCCGTCATTGCGGACTCCTCTGAAAAGCACAAAGAGGGGACGGAGATAGATAGAAAAGGCAGACGATCAACTCACTCTTGACTTGTCTATCGGTTGAGGAACCAAAAAGCTCCATGTTTGAGTCCTTCCAGTCATAGTCTTTAGCTTTAACGAGACCCGCCATTTCTAGTCTACGCCCCAAAGCGTGCGCGCTTAACTGTACCTACAAGACCTGAAAACGCACTCAGGGCTGGCTATTAAGTGTAGCAGCCTAAATACGTAACGGCTTCGGCCTCCGTGCGCGTGTTCTTGTGTGCAAGGCGAAAAACCAATGGGCGCTTGCATTTACCTTGGTTAACCGACAGGTACGCGGGCTGTAGCCACCAATCCTGATGACGCATGACTCAGTACGGTAATGTTGCCATGGCAACGGCGCACTGCTATAACACCTTAGTTGCCTCGGCTTCGCTTGAGGGACGGTAAGTGGGCTAATGTGGCAGTATCGATTTTCTACGCTTCTATTGGTTTTTTAGTTGAAAAAAGTGCGAATTTACAAAGAGGCTGCTTAAAATGCTGAGTGTTATGCATACGCAAGGTTGAGCCCTTTGTGACGAGCACAATAGCGGCTTGCCTTTGACTTCTGCCTAAAGTATCGATATAAAGAGGCGATATATAGTTTGAGACACTGGCCGTCTTAAGCTTTGTACTTCAATCGTTTCGATGTGAAACATCTGACTTTAGGCAACGTAATTAGCGAAAGCAGATTGAGTAAAGTGGGCGTGGTTTAGTTGGCCGCGCAAAAAACGAGACTTTTTGGATGCCAGAGTGGTCTAAACAATTTTAAAACAAAAATTCGGTTCAACTTATAGTTTTCGGAGTAGAAGCTTTGCGAGCGTTGTCTCCAGGATATTTAATAACTAGGAATCAGATATTCACTTCACGTCTCAAATACGCTACTTTTACGGTAGTGCTAGACACCTTTTGTGCTATCACATGCTCTCAAGGCTATCATTGTATGTAAAGGAAAAAAGAAGTTTTAGTGTAGATCAAATGAATCGACTATAATACAACACTTTAATGCCTTCAGAAATGGTCCGACCCTGTGATAAAACCCGCAGAACGAGATGCATGCATTGAAAGTTATTTGATCTTCAAAAATCATTTGGTATATAAACAAGGAAGGCCCTCAACTGTAAAGTACGACGAGTTCAAGACGCGAAAGTAGTGACAAGATAATGACGAGGGGTAGCACGAAACGCCTGAGGGATTGAATGAAATAATTGAAATTAAGGGGAAAATAACGCGCGCAACTGCCAATGTAGCAAACAGTTAAATTAGCCAAACTAGTTCATGACCTGGAGCTAAGCTTACTCTGAATCGCATGATCCCTGTCAGTCCCAAGGGGAGCCACATTGGAATAACGCCAGTCATAACCCTTGGACTTAACCGGACCCACCATGGTGCAGAAGCTACAAGGAACTACTGTTCCTCTGTGGCCACAGGGAAGTTTGGTTTCACGTGATTAAAGGAAGATGGTTGCACAACCAATGAAGGTTTTGTAATGAATTCATTGGTTGAAAGATGACAACTTAAAATTACACCCACCCCCAGTACGTCCGGACTGTTGGTTAGTACGTTAAAATGCGTTGAATAAAACAGCGAGAAAGAAGGGCCGAACAACTCACTCTTAACCTCCCTGTCCATCGCTGAGCCAAAGTCGGCAACGTTTGAGTCCTCCCAGTCATACTCCTTAGGTTTTACCAGGCTCGCCATATCCAAGGTTTTGGCGGAGATAAAATGATCGGGAAAATTGCAGTTTTTATGTGACCACCCGACAAAAGTCTGTGATTAGCAAATCAAGTGAGCGTTTTGTGCCTGCTGGTTGGAGAAAGCGGTAGTGAGCCAATTGGACTTGAGCAGATTTAGGCAGAAATAACCTTGACTGCAGTGTCTAGCATGTGCAACTTCGGCTTCTGTTGATCAAACCTTATAAGGTGTCCCCGGTGTTATGGAAAAATTCCAAATCATAATCATGGCCTTTGCTTAAATAATGAATGGGAAAAAATAGTGGAGCGTAAGCGATGTCTGTGCGGCACTTTCGTAGATACTTTTAGTCAAGTTTGGTACTGCGATTGTAACTCATAGCGCCACGAAAATAAAAAAAAAAAGGATTTTGCATGCGGAGTAACACTAATGCTTGGGGTTGTAACTTCCTAGACCTTTAAAAATGCATACTTATTAGACTGGCAGTAATAGTAATTCAATCGGTCTTTGGAAACCTCTAATTTCAAAGTCTTCGGAGATAACTCAAGTACACTTTTTTTGACTCCTATTTGCGTCATTTGCCTCCAGCATTTAGTTCAAAAGCGAATAACCAGTCAAAGCACTTGCGTGCGTGCCAAAACACTTTCAACTCGATTTGCGTGCACATGCTTTATTTATTCGAGGTGTTTTAAAACAAGCTCTCTACAAAGGAAGGAGTGGGTGATAACCCTAGTTGTTGAGCTGTCCTTGAAGCTGAATAGGCACTCCTTAATTGCAACACCGCGCCATCGGCAGAGGGTGCCACATGAGAGACCAAACGCTCAAGACCTTCTGTCCGTAACCCAGTATAGAGGCCACATTGACGTAAGTCGGTGGAACTGTAAAGGTGCCGCTAAGACACTCTTGCGCTGTGCTTAAAAGTGTGCCTACTGCACCCTGATGCAGCTGTCAGGCGACGAGCCAAATGCAGCAAAGGGATTTAAAGCATATTATGCAACTACACTTCTGCTAGCCGCTTGATTTACAATCTTCTTGACATTGTTTCAAATACTATGTAAGACTAAGGTCTTGGTTCACTTCACCTTATCAAAGCTACTACTCTTACTCACGAATTAAAAATGCACCACCTCGTGCATGTGCGGAGCGTTTAAAAACCCGTGATGTGCGGCTTTGATGACTTTGGTCCAAAGTACAGATAAAGTTCTTAGATTTACCATATAACTGCTAACAGACTGTAAAATAAGTAGTACAGATCGAAATGGGAGTTCTAACAAGCATAAATGTTTCCTGTTAGTTTGATACTTGCGTAAACATCATTCGTTTCAGTAGCTTCGAGCACAAATTCGATGGCCAGTTTTTGTGAAGAGCTCGAGGAAGATGGGGTTCCATACCTTTCGGAATGCCAACGTCTACTCCTTTCGGAAATGCAGTGTAGTTAAGAGCTTAAAAACCTTATCGGTGCTGAAGTCCAGTGTGCTAAAGCCACCTAACGTTTACTTACAATCCCAAAGTGTGAGAAGAAAATCGGTAGAATAACAGCTAGCACCTCCAAATTAAGACAGCCACATTATTTTGGATCGAATTGGCTGCAGCATTAGGGAAGAGACGGTATTGTAGACACCACAGACAAGGAGTGATGGGCTATTGTAATCGTATATTTGAACATTTAATGGATGAATTGAAAACACCACTTTTCCACCTCCCACGAATGTGGCACAAAGTACGCCTCTATGGGGCCAGCCAACGGCGATTCACGTTGCCGAAGTCTGTCTCTAACGAGGAAGTTGATCGCCTCGTGAAGTCATGCTCACAATGACATTCATGCAGGTATAACCCACTGTAAATTCGAAAGCCTTGCACTTGCATTTTCTTAAAGCAAATGCTAACTGTATCGGTTGTTAGTTTAAGCGGCAATCTGGTGGTTCCAACAGCGATGAAGCCATTAAGGTGACAAACAAGCCGATTGACCCAATTTAGTGCATTTCACGGTCACAGGTTATGCCTTCGACCCATATCATCTGCCAGGCCGTGTTATCCTGAACGCCTGCCCAACAAGAATCAGTTCATCATGATAAGAAGGGCGTAAATTAAATGGAACTAAAATGAGCCCTGTAAACCGAGTTAGCAAACCAGAAAATGAAGGAATTTTCTTCTTCACTAGAGAGTTAAGGCTAGGAGAAACTCTAAGATTGCGCAAAGGACTAAATGTTGGCCATTGGCATTTTCAAGACGCTGCATGAAAAATACCAGTTGGCAACATTTACACGTTACCTCATTTTGGCTGCTCTCGCTTCTTCGCATCAGCGGGTATGCATATGCACCACATGAAGTGAATTTTATGGCTGCAGCATGGCAATAATAAAAAAATATGGGGAAATACAACCACAAAGTGAGTAGCATGATCTTCTAACTTGCGGTTCCATAACCAAGAGAGCTAATTTTTTATTTCTTTTAGGTGGGCGAGTCGGATTAAATTAGCGCTTTCGATGGAGCTTCGCACATCACTGAAGTGAATTAGGTGTAGTCGAGGTGGGATACCTCCCCTCCTCATCTTGAAGATTGCACCACAGGAACCCAACTTAATTTTCCACTGCTAAAGAGCTTGGCACTATTGGTGCTTCATGAGGATTCCCGAAGAATGGAACCCAAAAATGTCTGTCATCGACGTCAAGAAGGCATCTGTCATGCTGCTCTCATTATTCTCTGAAAATATACTTAGGGCCTACTGGAACAATAAAAGCTTTTCAGTTTGCAGGCAGTTGGAATGGGTTGGAACGACTTCTTAGTTTGGCTCAAATAACAACAATTAAGTCAAGGTGTTCAAGGATAGAGGAGCCTGACTAAAGACTAGTCCACTTATAGTAACAGTGCTTGTAGGTTGCAACACATCCTAAAAGGCATGCTCTGGGTGTTATTGGCAAGTGGCTTAAATTGCAACATCAACTTATCCCAATTACCATTTCTGCCGACTGCCAGGAGAATAGTGACTAAAATGTTTGCACTTGAGACTTCAATTACCTTTCCTCCTCATAGGAGCCCCAAGCCATCACTTATTAGCTTGGTAAAGATTTTCATTACTTTCCCACCTTGTGGTAGTTTCTTAAACTCTACAGTCAGTATTGCTTACAGTTTCATTGGAGAGGGGCATCGGGTGTGTTTTTACCGATGCTATGTTTATGGCTGCTGGTAAAAGTGGGGCCTGCGATTTCGACTGCCACAGCACGATGCATGTCCCATGTCCATACGCAGTCAGCAGAAACTGCATTGCTAATACGCAAGAGAACAGGACGGGTTAGACAAGACAACGTATAACTCCCCGAATCCTAACTTCGTGTCAAACCAAAATGCAAAATTATGGCGAGCATGCATAAGCTGCAGGCGAAATCATATTTACTACTTAAAGGTAATACCGTAGCAATA